TCTTTTGATGATTTTGAATGTTAATACATATGTAAATGTTATTCTTGAACGTTCCTTACGCGCAAATGAAGGTCATATTGGTGTTAATGAGAGTTTATTTACCATAATGAAAGAAATTTGGACACAAATGAATGTTTATTTTCTGTAAATGAACAGCAAAAGGTGTAGTTATTTTATTGATAATTGATATCATTCTTATTCACCTCCGGTTAAATTTTCCAGGAACACAGGAAACATTATCGAATAAAGACATAACAATGAAGCAAGACTGATTACTACGTACAACACTTAACGGGACAACGACATGATACAGTCCAAATTGAAAGCCAAGAACTGCAACCGTTTCTATTTTTGGCTGATCACATCTTTTTCAGATCATACGTATACTAACAGCATTTTCGTTTGCGGTCCCTTCTATCATTGTATTTATCGAATAAAGATTCGAGGGGAGTTTCAAAACGAACAATCGAAGCGCAATTTCCCTGCATTTGATGGCTCACCAAATATTTCAATTGTATTCAGAACATTATCATCATCATTATCATTATCATTATCATTATCATTATTATCCAAAGATAAAAACCTTCCTTAAAACCTTGCCTGGATACGATGATCTTAAGGCTAGGGCATAGTGTATGAGCGCAAAACAAAAGATTGTGCACTGTCGTAGACCTTCCAACATAAATCTTGGCGTCTTTGTTTGCTCCTTTGATGTTTGCTGGGCTTAATAACCAGTCCCCTCTATTAACTATGGCTAGGGTTTGGGCTGGTGTTATTAGGGTTTGGAGGGGGTGGGGTTGGGCAATTACGAAAAATTCATGCACAGCAAAAACTGCAGGGATAAAATAATCGCGGGGCCATGGGGAAAAAAATAGAGGAAGTGCTTCCTACTATCCGGGTCCTGATTTTTAACTTTAAAAAATTCTTGCACAAGCTATTGCCCACCAAAACAAATCATGCGCCACCTAAAGATGAGGAAAAAATTTCATGCTCCAGAAAATTGCCCGCCCTTCCCCCACCCCCTCAAAAAATAATGGTCCGTCCCTTATTTCCGGGTCTTTCGAATTACTAATAGCTCCTGATAAGATGACTCCGCTGGGCTCCCATGTTCCACAGCTAAAAACACGGTACAACAATAACCCGCTAAACCGTACACACAACCTCGTTCCCACAGCTTTCAGGGACAGAGAAACTGGAAAAAGCCTGGGAACGAGGTCGACAACTGAGCCTAAAAGGAAGAGACCAGACCATGCACAACGAGACTCGAAGCCAACTTCATTATAATTGCGCGGATATATGATGCACTTGCTACTTCTATATAGTATTTTACTCAACGTCGATCAAGAAGGACAAGAGATGGAGATGTAAACAGTTTCGAAAAATAAAATCCGTCCGTATCCATGAGGCCGCTCTCAGTTCCAGGTCTTCTTGCGGCAGATGAAAAACTAGCCATCCTGTGTGCGCATGGCGCACACTGAGAGCAAAGGACGCGAATGCGAGAGTTAGCAGTAATCTCGCACCCAGATTTCACTCTGTTTGACGCTGAAAGGTGAGACCTCTCTTCCGCTTGGCCGTGGGAGGACTGGGTTCTAGACTAGAGGTTCCTCGTAGCGGAAGGTGGCTGGTAACACCTTTTAGCACTTTTTAATAGTTATACCTTGACAGATCAACACTGGGTATCACACAATTAAGTCAATTAAATGCCCAATCATTGGTGAACAAGTTGTGGTCATCGTCGTGGCATAATAGGTTACCATAGCAAGAATGCAACTTGCTAAACATACCGTTAATTTTAGCTTTAAGTGCTAATAATTCAAAAACGGCTCGGTGAAACCCATTTTTTAAATTAATTATCGAATAGTGAAAAGTATATTACGGTACAATGTTTTGCAAACTTTAAAATCATTCTGTAAGTAGGGTTCACAGCCACCTTAAATTTTCGAAGATTTGAAACGGCTCCGTATTTGCCTCACTATAAGATGTTTAAGTCGTCTCGACTGAGACTTCTTGTTGCAAGGGTGTGCTCTATAGCTTCCGCCATTGGCTCTTTAAAAAAATACTTTTATCTTTTGCAATTTTAAGTATTTAGGGAAATTTGCTGGTAAATAGACCATTTTTAAAATTATGCTTAGATTTTGTAATTATTGTAAGGTTGCTTTCCTCTCTTTGTAGAGGGTTCTCCCTCGGCTAAAGTGACTGTCATATTAATTTAAGTCATTATTATTATTACCTTTAGTAGACCTGTTCCTTTTTGACGTTCGGGCGACAGGAAGCTAGGAACGAGTACGGATCGCGCCAAAGGCTGAAAGCCGCCATTTTGAAAATCGTCGAGGAGAAGGCCCTGGGGACGAGGTCGGAAATGACGGTGTTTTATGCAAAATTAGCGAATCAATCAAACGAGATGGCGCTGACCATTTACAATTCGTCGTCGGCTGATAAGATACTAAGAAACTGGAAAATTTGCAAATGTAAAAGAAATTTCCGCTTCCAGGGGAACTTCCATATAAAAAGGAGGGGATTTTGGCATCTCTCAGGGTGTTAAACCTCAAAAGGTCCACAGCGGGAGCCTTTACGATACCTTTTAGCCGGAAAATATGATAGGACATAACGTATTACATTAGAACTTGCACCCCTTGGGGGAGAAAAATATCCCAGCCACAAAACAGGACCTTGGTACCTCTTAGGGGTTCTTTTCAAAATTTCCAAAGAGCACCCCTTGACCCCTTGTCCTGTTTATATGGGAGAGCCTCCTCCCGGGTTTCCACCGTACCGTTCTGACGCGGAATCGAAAAAGTCTACAATCTCAGGAAGGATTTTCTGGAAAATTACTACTGTTCCATTTGACTTTCAACGAGAATTTGCGGATTCTAAAGGATCAAAATTTAACGTTCAGATTTTTAATTTGACACTCGAAAAGCCGCCTTATCCCCGCTTTGAACAGAGTCAAGTCTCGGGCGCGAACAAAGTACACAAATTTTGATAATTCAGGCGATGATGCAATATTGAAGCCAGCGTCGATTCGTTCTCTTTCACTTTTGAAAACTAATTGATATGACAGAGAGACGGAAAAGTCTTTCTACCACCTAGAATAGTTTATGTATTTAAACAGGAAGTAGAAAAATTTCAGTTTTCTCTAAGGGATAGAGGTTCTACGACTTGTCAGCAAAAAAAGAAACAACAACACCACCATGAGATACACAGAAGAAGAATCTCTATACTGTATTTTCTCGTGAAAAAAAGAAAGATTTACGCGGGAAATATCGAAAATTGCGCCGCTTACTTAAACTATTGGACCCCCTTCCACTATGCTCGGTCGCCCCCTAATGTTTTGATGTCCTTGCAGAAAGTAGAGCAATACAGCATGGCGGACACATTTGAAGGTGTACATTGACAGGATTTTCTCATGGTGGACGATGCGGGGACCGTTCATTTGTTTGAAATATTAGTTGGGGAAGATTATGGCGAGTACTAGGCGCCGTGTCAAGCTATATACGCTGAACGAAGACCGGCAGTGGGATGACCGTGGTACAGGGCACGTGTCTTCGTCGTATGTTGAACATTTACAGGGGATGTCGATCATGGTTCTATCCGAAGAAGACGGTTTGTGGCGATTGCATTCTCGATTGCTTTTGCTTGTTTGATTCTAGGATGACTGTTTTATCGAGGAAGCCAGAAAAACCTGTCTTAAATTGACCCGGTTGCTTCGTTTGCAGGTTCAATTCTACTCGAGTCAAAGATACAACCTCATACTGCCTATCAGAAACAGCAGGTAGATTTCAACTTTTTTCAAAGTAATGCCGGTTGTTTGTTAAAGAACTATTGTAACCTCTAGTGTATTTTTGTTTATAGGAAACTCTAATTGTGTGGTCAGAGGGCGACAACTACGATCTGGCGCTCAGCTTTCAAGAGAAAGCTGGATGCGACGAAATTTGGGAAAAAATTTGCCAGGTACGTTAAGTTAGCGGCTTGCTGGTGTTCAAACGTCGTTGGTAAAAACTTGTCAAGTGAAATTTTCAGCTGGTTGTCTGTTTTCTAGCAATCGAACGTTACTCGTGAGTAAAATACGTATTTGTTTGGTGTTTAGCAAATCTACGGTATGCCCACAAACTGTTACGAAATCATTATGTTAGTGCAAGCTTAGTGTCAGCTACTACCGTTTCACTATCGATGTAACCAACCTTTTCTTCTTGTTGACATTTTATTTGGCAGATTCAAGGCAAAGATCCGTCCGTAAGTATCACTCAAGACATTCCCGAAGACGATGACTCGGAGGAACGATTTGAAGAAGTTTTGGATTCGACAGGTCCAATTGAATTACCGCCCTGTGAACTTAGTAAACTTGAGGAAATCGCGGAGTTATTTAACAGCGTATTGCCTTCACCTATCCGCCGGGAAAAATTGGCACTGGCGATTGAACAAGACAATTACATCAGGAAGTTGTTGGATTTGTTTCACATCTGCGAAGATTTAGAAAACTTGGATGGACTACATCACTTGTACGATATTTTTAAGTCGTTGTTTTTTATGAACAAGCCTTCGTTACTGGAGATTATGCTCGCCGATGATCTTGTGTTCGACGTAGTGGGCTGTTTAGAATACGACCCTTCTAAAGCTTCTCCTCAGAGGCATCGAGCATTTTTAAAGGAGAGCGCGAACTTCAAAGAAATTATTCCCATAACGAACTCGGATGTAATAAACAAGATTCATCAAACGTATCGTGTACAGTACATTTACGATGCAATTCTGCCTCCGCCGTCGGTTTTTGAGGATAACATGCTGGCTTCAGTTAATTCGTTCATACTTTTTAATAGGATAGAAATTGTCACACATCTGCAGGTGAGTCTATAAATTCAACTTGAGTTCTATTATGTGTAGAATTTTGAGCTTAATGTTGTTAGGGAAAGGAGCGATGACGCACATTGAACTTTATAACGTCGTTGTTGGTTTCTCTTTGAAATCTGAGCTGGCAGTCTATTGTCAGGGTAACGTCCGCCCGGTCTTCTCTGACAGCAACATGAAAAATTTTGCCGGGCAAAAACGACTTTAACAGAACATCAGGGGCTGGTGTTTTTGAAAGTAAATTTAAATATTTGATGGGATTTTAAAGTCAGACCCTCAAAGCTGGGTTCAGGGGTAACTGTAAGAGGTTTTAAACTGTCAGATATATGTAAATTTTCTAACTCTATATTAAATTATCAATCTTAATTTTTTACATCTATATTTTGGTGAGTTTAGGGATGGTTTATTTTATTAATCCTGCTCAACTTGGTGATTTTCTTGTATGTTTTTCTTGGACCATAGTCATTGCAGTAGAGGCTCATTACAGACTAGATAAAACCACACTAGCACACAGGTGTTTTAGTGTGAGTTTCTGACATTTCCTTTGTGTTAAAGCAAAAAAAAAATGTATTTTGTTTGTATTGCTGCATGTTTCTAATTAACATGTGGGGCTTTCAATGTGGCATTTGTGACGTTAAAGGCTTCCTAACTAGTTGAAATGGCGACCTTTGAGAAGCAGTTTGAACTAGTTAAATATAAGACAAATCAAAATAAGATAACTTATTCAGGAAAGACATGCAGATGTCATCGTGTGTTTGACACTTTTTCGAAAATGGACTTTCTATAAGGTCAAGGTTTTTGCTTATTGCAAAATACAGACAGAACCTAGTATATTTCTTAACCTAGTGTTTTTTCCTTCTAGGAATATAGAAATATAGTAATATTCCTGTAGAATATATATACCGGTACATGTATATTTTACTTAGGTTGGTAATGTTTCAGTCAAAAGCTGTATTTGTAGGTAACTTCATTGGTTGTGATACTGTCTATTACTGGTCTGTATAAATATTTCGAGTCATTTTTATAAAGAAATAACAATTTTAAAATTATGAACTTTATTTTACAAAGAAGCATGACTATTTCCACATCATGTGTACATAACTTGGTGCAAACACTTAGAATGATTTTGGGAGAACTCAAAAAGTACTTGTACAAGTCTTTGCCTATCTCTAAGGTTACTGTGTAATTTTTTGCTTTGTGTTTTATATCAGGCTAAAGGAAAACTTTAGATTTGAAATCAGATTTTGCAGCTGTTATAGACATCATGTGATGCTGTTTTGGAAAGTTATTTTAAAACGTATTGTTTTTCTAGACAGATGGCCATTGTGGTCTTCTAAAATATTTTAAATGTGTGTATTTATGTCATATTTTAATGCTTTCGCATCTTATGGAGATGAACTTTTTTTTGTGGTCTGCTGGAATGAACCAGAGTGGACAAAACAATACATAACATTACATAAATATAATTTTAGGTAGAAAAAAGTTTTAATTTATTTTATTTCTTATTTTTGTTCTCTGAATTTTTATCTCATAGAACTTTCTTTTTAGCTCTTCTACTTTTGTGAAGCGCTTAGAACTGATCTGGATAGGCACTATAGAAATATCTATTATCATTATTATTATTGTTATTATTATTATTATTATTATTAGTATTAGTATTAGTATTATTATTATTACAAATCATTGTATATGAAATATCAATATTTATTTAAAGTGCAAATAGCAGCCAACAGGAATTCAAAATATAAGCATAAGTACACATGACTGCTAGGTCTCTGACGGTGCACATGACAAACAGGATTTGAAAGCTGGATTTCAGCATAAATTTGTGAAATAGGCGTATATACAGTACTCAACTCACATGTAATGTGGTGTGTTTTGGTGGAAAAGGTGTTCAATCCATCCAAGTAATTTTAACATTATTATCACCCATCTTTTTCTTTAGTCTTTTTCTTTTCTTTTTTTTTTTTTGAGATAAAATTCCAGGCTACACTCTGACAACTTTTCCACTAAATAACCTCTAGTTATGAAAAGTATTGAGTTAATTAGAAAAATAACTTGAAGAAACCCAGAGGACTTCCTATCCATCTGCCAGATTAAGGAAACACTAGAAACTGTTTTGATAATGCTTCCTTTCACCTGGAGGAAGAACCTTGCAACCCTCAGTCTTTGAATTCTCCTCAATGTCAATTGTACAAAATTTGAGTTTCTGCCTGTGAAAAGGTAACTGTAAAAATAGATGAATTTTAGTGACAGGTATATCCAGATAGGGTGGCGTAGCAGAGTATGGATTGTAACTACCATCCTATTAGAGATATTGAGATAATCATTAATTGCTTTATTAATAATAATTTTCTGGCTTCTGTTTTTCCTCTTACTGTGCCTCACTGCACTAGGTGACTAGCTGGTTGCCTGGTTGAAAATAACCCTTAAGTATTTTGTTCCTTGAAATTTCAACCTGTGATAAGCCCCATTTCAGCTGGTATGTTTTATGTTCTAGTTACTTTATTAGCCAAGGTTAATAGTAGATTACAACTGCAAATATTTGCCATATGTATGAAAATATGCTTGGAAATTAATTTTTGTATCACTGTTTTGTAGGAGGATGATAAATTTTTAGCAGATATGTTCCTGCAACTCACAGATGAAGATACATTGGACGATAGAAGAAAACAACTGGTAATTAACATCAGATCTTTTTGTGAAGACATGATTGATCATCACAGTTATGGACACAACTCAAGCAGTTGTGAAATTAAAGCCTGAAAAAATTCAGGCCTGAACACTGCACCAGTATCGCAGAGGTCATGGGTTCGAATCCTGTTCAGGCCTGAATTTTTTTTTCAGGCTTTAGTTTCACAACTGCTTATAAGTTGTGTGCATAACTGCAATGATCAATCATGTCATTATATCTTTCTCCGCAGTTCCAATATATGCTCTTTCATATATTCATTTCTAGATCTTATTGTTTTACCCATTGACTCTTGAACCACCCTAAACTAGCCATTGATGGAGTGTGGTCGTCGTGTGAATTGCATATATAGCACATTTCTAGAACTCCTTTCACGGAAATAAGAACCTCTTTAAGTGCCTAATCAACAGCTATCTGATAAGTAACTTTGTTAATAAGTTTGTTAATTTTATTGGTTATTGGTTGTTAATTGTTGTTAGTGATTGGCTTTGTTGTGGTTAACCACAATAATAATGTAGTGTTTATAATTCTCAAGAATCTGTTTCTTGTTTTTGCTTTCAGATAAATTTTTTGAAAGAATTGGTCAGTTTTTCCATTCACTTGCAACTTCATCAGAAAGATGAATTTTTTAAGGTTTGCGAATAGTAATATTTGAAATGTGTGGTTTTGTGTAAGGTACATGTATAGGCTTTGACGTAGTTAGGGAACAAGGATATTTGACAAAGATAACAGACTAACATACATCAATTCCCCAAGTTTTTACATTCATACACCTTCTAGTACTGGTGTAGTTACACAATGTTCCCGTCCAGGACTGAAACCTGGACTGCTCAATCTGGAGTTGAGTACACTAACCATGAGGCCACTGCACCTCCACATGACATTGTAGTTGTGATTATATTGCCTTGCCCTAGGGGGGTCTGCTTACATGCACATGTACTGTTGTATTTTGACATCTGATTCTATATGTTTAACCCTACAGGCACTTGCACACCATGGATTACTCCCTGCAATGGAATTGCTTCTTGTAAGTGTAACATGTGACATGTAGATTCTCCTCACAAATCTCTGATACATTTGTTTTTTTCTTAATTGGGAGAATTTGGTGATTTGATTCAAAAGTTGAGTTTTATTTTTCTCTTCTTTGATACAGAAGAGATGGTTTGAAACTTCTCAAACTGAACAAAAGTTAGTTCAATCACAACATTTCATTATCCTTGTATTGTTTTGACATTTTTTCTCAAACTCATAAATTATTCATCAAGTTTAAGCAAAAGAAATTGTGACATGACGGTGTCTGGATATCTGATTTTAATTAGCGTAGATTTTTACAAGTTTATTTCTCCATTTTCTCCTTAGTTTTAGTTTTGATTGAGAAGATATATATCAAACACTCAAGACAATGTTTGACTACATTTCCAAGCACCTTGAAGTTTGTCAAAAATAGTCCACGACATGGTGTATTTTCAACTTTCTCCTCAGTGTTTGGAATGTTGTCAAACACGGTCTTTGGTGTTTCCTGGGGCAGATCCAGGATTTGGTGAAGGCTGGTTCGGAGAATTGTTGACCAAAGGTGGACCTTCTAAGGGGTTCAAGGGCCCCCCATGGAGACTTACTAGGTTCTTGGAAATGTAATTTCCAGTGTTTTGAGGGATACGCATAGGTATTTACAATAATGCTTACCTTCCTGATGATGTACGTGCTAGTGGTCCAAAAAATGATTAATTTGCTATTGTCGTATTGACATAACTCTGACGGACTTCAAATTTAACACTGACTCCTTTGAGAAAAGTGGTTTTTCTTGGGCTGACAGTCGAAATATTTGTGAACGATTACACAACTCAGTGATGAACTGATTAACGAAGAGGCTGAGCTTCTACTCTTAGCCATGGTGCCTAACCTGTGCAATCTGTTGATAGAAAAACTGTCACTTTTGGTGCCGTGTAGAATTTGACAGGAGCATAAATCATGTGCTATTTTACCAAATAGACGAATAAAAGATTGAGTGCTTAAACAAGGATATAACTCAAACAGTGGTGATAAACCTTGTACTCCAACGCATTTTAATACAGAACTTAAATGGATTTTAGACTAAGCCAGAGGCATTTAAAATCAGGAAAAGACTCTTATCAATCAGTATTATTTTTGCTCTTTTCAAGTTAGTCTCCTTTTTAAGAAGATAAAATATAATATTTGTTAGTGATGTGCACAAAGGTTCTTGTCGGAAATGGCACATATTTAAGCAATTTTTGATCTCATTTAGGGGGTTCAACCAAACCACCTGAACTGCCCCTGGATCTGCTCCAGGTTTCATATGTATTACACGAGAAAGTAGACCGTCACACATAGGGGACTGTTGCAAGGTCATACACTTAGAAACTTGCAGTTAGCTGCGTGTTGCATGTTTGAAAAGGTGACAAGGATGTGGGAGGATAATTGTGTAGAGAAGAGCCCTTCTTGGATGCTCATGTTGTGTGTAAAATTTGTGGAAAATCCTTGTACATGTACTTTTGATTTACATTGAATTATCTATTTGGTTCAAGTTCAGCAAATATACCGACTGAAACAAATCTGCTAGGAAAATGGAAATAACAAAATTAGGTGCCCCTGGACTGAAATTCATTCACGTATGTTTATAATGTACTTGTACATGTAGGTTGGTTTGGTGACTTGTTAACTACAAGGCATTTTAGTTAACTGCTGAATTTTCTCCGATTCTTATTGGTTTTAAATTGATGACATGACGTGATAGTGTTCATCAACAGAGACGCTACCTGCCCATAGCACTGTCCAAGGAAAATACTCAAATGGATAGTACTTATCCGTTAAAGTTTTCCGTAAACAAGCAGGCTTATAGAAAAAAATATATATTGATCTGCATTTAGTGAGTTTTTGTCTGTTTTCTCATTCAAATTTTACATTTGTCTTTCACTCCTTTCATCTAAAAAAGTTGAAAATAATTCAATACGATTTTTGAACTGGTGCACAGAAGAATTAGTGTTGAATAATGAAGACAGTAGAGTGTTTGTCTCAAAACTATCTGTCTGATAGTTGCCCCTTGGAAATTTGTTGTTCTTAAAACTGACATATTTGCCCTTGAAGCTTGGCTGGCTTCTTGGGCAAATATCTGTTCCTCGATTGTTTCTGGTCAGAAACACTCTACTGTTTGAGTAGTCTTAAATATTTTCTTTGATCAATATATAGACTGTGTTGTTAAGTTAATTTACAAGTTACCACATCAACTCTTGTTTTAAACCTGCCTACTGGCAACGTGGTTGCTAATGCGTTAGTTCCTTTCTGCAGGTTAGTGACTGTGAAGAAAACAGGCTGTCGGCTGTGGAAATGTTCTCACAGGTTGTTGACATTAGCCCATACCTTGTCAGAGATTTCATCATGAAGGAGGCTCAAACACAGGAAGAGGTCGGTGCTCTTTGTCTGTTGAAAGTTTCTTTTCTGCTGAGTGTTTTTGGTAGCTCACTTGGGTTCATTTAGACATGTGGTTATCGCCTTCAGTTAACCATTTTCTTTTCTCTGGTTAGCTCTGTAGTTGATTTTATGGTAGGAAAACAATTTTAATCTTTGTTGGGAATCAGGGTTCAATAATTGTATTAGATTATTGTATTGATTTATTGCATACTGATGATATCAACCCTAAGTTTGTCTGGGATATTGCATCGAGTTATTGCCCATTTTGTAAAACTGACAGTTAACCTTTTGTATGTCATTCTAGTACAGTTATAAGAAGCTATTGTAGTTATTGTTACATCCAAGGGCTCAATTGATTAATTAATTAATTGTATTCAAAAGTTGTTAACTGTTAACTGAGGTGAAAGTGTGAATTGGTGTTTGTTTTCATTATTACTCCGACTGTTTACAGTCATGGGCTTCTAAGTATCATCGGTTTGCACAAGGACCGATGTGGCCCTTGTTTTGATTCCTGCCTTGTGCCATATGTTGGCTGAGCTTGTCACTGGTTCTCACCTTGCTCCAATGGTCTTTCTCCAAGGGTCTTTCTCTGAGTGCTCTGGTTTTTCTCCTTCCACTTAAACCAACATCTCCAAATTCCAATTTGACCAGGATGGAGGACCAGCATGAAAACCAGCTAAGGCTGATGTGGCTTCCTCTCTAAATAATGCATTTATTGACCATAAAAATTAATCATCCAATTAGTGCCCGGGGCACGTATTTCAAATTTGGGAGAAGACGGGGAGCACTTATTCGAGGGGGGTGCTTAATTCAGGGGAGGGAGGGGAGCTTATTTAATTTTTCCCAAATTGTGGCCTGACATGATCATTTTTTTAATACATCATCTGCACGTAAACAACAACTTAAGCTGTTTAATGACATAAAAAGCTGATCCTAAAGTTTATATCACGGCACCGTTAGTACTTAATGTGTTCACTTACTGTGTTCATGAACTGAAACAATGTACAAATCTAATACTACATGACAAAAACTATACATACTTTGTTGTCTCATTACTCATCCACAAAATGGGAGGGAGGGGGGCACTTATTTTAAATTTTGACGAATGCTGAATCATTACAAATGTGATGGCGAATAAGAATTAGTAGATGCATGTCACTGTTAAATTTATCCTTAGCTTAACATTTTTCTAATGGTTGCTCTCTTCATAGGACATGCTGATCAATCATATTATAGATTTCATGATTTGTGATGGTGACACAGGTCAGTGTGCAAGAATTGCAGTCTCTCATAGGATCAAAATATCTTTTTGTCCCTTAACATTAGAATACAGGAGTCCAGTTCAAGTCTATTCATGTGGTTCTTATTCTGCTTGGATAGAAGCAAAATGACTGTTGATTAAAGCACGAGACAGCAATCTTGTTTTCCTTGCTTCTATGTGGTTTTTGCCAACCACAATGCTCTGCAGTGCTTGTAACTCGAAGCACTATTGCTATTGCAATTCTTACAATAATTCTTTTACATTTGCCACAGGAAATGCATATCAACTCTCTCAACTGATCAGAACCTTACTTGATCCAGAAAACATGGCATTAGGAGCAAATGTAAGTCCTGTATGTAAGGCATCCATAATTTATTTATTGGTAGCACTAAATACTTAATAAACTTAGGATATTCAGTAACAGGGTTGGCAGGGGTTCAGTGTGGTTTTCAGCAGGGAGGCAATTGTTTTTGTTTTGTTTTTTAAAAAACGTTTTCTAGGTGGTCAAACCAGGCCAGCAAAATCGCCCCCACAGCCAGTTACCCAGTGCCCAGCCCTTAATGAAACCCCTGGGCTGGAGATTACTGTTTTAACTCAGCACTTGCCTTGTGTCCTTCCTTCCTTACAAATGTGACTTGAGAGTTAGGTGTGCTTTCAGAGGACATCTGTGTAGATGCCCGCTATAGCCTGATGAAACTATATTTTTTTGACCAGTTTTCCAGAAATAGACACCTTGCTTCTCACCTGATAAAACAATCAATTGTTGTTTCCTTTCTTGATACAGTGGTATATTAACCTGATGTATTTTACGTAACATTTTTTTCGCATAGAAAATGGAGAAGTCTGAATTCTTGAGTTTCTTCTACAAGCACTCTATGCATGTTTTGACAGCCCCTCTCTTTGCTGCAACCTGTGATGACAGACCAAGCAAAGGTAAACCATTATTAGTCTAAATATGGCTGAAGCGAGTGTTTATCAAATCAGACTAAACTGATTTCCTTTTTTGCTTTTTCTCCCACCGCTTGTTTTCACTTGAATCCTTCTGTTTTTAACCCTTTCACTTCCAAAGTCATTCACAAGGCCTTATCATGAGGGTGAGGGGGTTCCAGAGACATACTTGATTGGCTAGATTTCTGAAATAAGAGTTTCTCTAATTCAACATGGGTTTACTTCCCGTAAACAGTCACTGGTTGACTGTTAACACTGTTAACACTGTTTGATTGCAACACTTGCAGGCCTTTCAAGACAGATTTTTACCCACAGAATTTCATTTAAAAGAAGTGAAATTCTGGACTGAGGTGGCATTTCTATGTATTTTTCCAATGTTCCAGTCAGATGTTGCATGAATCAATTTTGTCAAAATGTTTAAGCGGAACCCTACCGTGTGGCCATTTAAATGAAAGCTGTCCAGCTGTGACATATGCTGTTGGTTTTCCAGTATTTGCAAAATGGAGTTTCAGTGGGTTTTTTTTTTGTCAAATTCAGCAATGAAAAAGTCAAATGAAAAATTTTTATTGTTTTGCATTGCTGCTGTCTTTTTTTAAAATTATTGCCTTTTTGGCTTTCTTTTCTCTACAGATGACTATGTCAATAGCGTGACACTTGGACACATTCTGGAACTGCTAACATTCTTTGTTGAACACCACACATACCACATAAAAAACTACATCATTAGTAAAGATCTGCTCAGAAGAGTTTTGGTGCTAATGAAGTCACAACACAAGTTTTTAGTTTTAAGTGAGTTATAATTTAGTCACAAGTTTAGACTGATTGTTTTGTCTTTTCATTCCAGCTAGAGCTGAATGGAAGAATGGTGGTTCTGCTCTTGTAAAATGATCTATTAATAGTATTTTAGAAAGTATCCCAGAGAAAATATGGGCATTGATTGGTACAAAATTGTGTTTCTGTAACTTGATAGAAACACAAATTAGCAAGAGCTGTTGATGTAATGATGGCAGGAGCAAAGAGAATTTACATTTTGTTGATTAAAGTTAACAAGTTGTTTTCTTTTTTTTGTCATGGATTTTCTAAAAGAAATAGAAAACATGTTTCTGTGTTTCTACTGAGTTATGGAAACACTCGTGGAAGTTTGGGAAAACTCAAAAAGCCTGTGGAAACACTCGCCTGTCGACTCATGTTTCAACATTGTTTCCCGTTCTCCAAAACTTCCACTTTTTTTTCTATTTAACAATTACATTATGAGCTCAAGATTTCTATCACACATAGAAATTGAGAGCAAATAATCTAATTGTTATAGTATAAATCTAGTAGTCATTCAAAACTTAAATCTAAATTCTCTTCAAAGACACTTCGAAAACACAAAGAAGCAGCCCTCAGCACACACCACTAGGCTGCTCACTATCTGTAACAGAATAGATAGTGAGTAGCTTAGCCAATCAGAGAACGGCATTCGTGATAGAGTGCTAGTAAATTAATACTAATTAACAATTAGATTATAAGCTCAAGATTTCTATAAGAAGATAGTTGATNCAATCTTGGAAAGCTTCTACATTTGTTTTTAGAAGAATTAAGTTATTCCACTTGTACTTAAATGAATACGCCAATGGCAAAAAACCCGTCGTGAATTATTGTTTTAAGGATGCAATGGAGCCCAGGCTAGTTGTGCAGTTTTAACTCGAGAATGTGTACTGAATTTTTTTTTGTGTACAGTACGTGACGCCTCGTAATCCACGATTAGAATTATTAGAATTATCCTTTAAGTTGTCACGCGTCACGTAGTATTCCGGAGAAATTGTGAATGTTGCGTGACATTTTCAAAAAGGGCTCACAAGAATGCCATGGAAGTGTGTGGAATATCGTGGCTATTTTACCCTTCAAAGATTAAATCGATAGCGTGTGAAATTTTAATTTTTTTTTTTATTTTAACAAGATCAACGTCTTTACTGTTATTTTAATTTACACGGATAACTGATTTTTGTTAACTGATTTGTTACACATGGGAACTTTTTTAGTTGAACCGTAAGCGTAATGCCCAGGTTAGCGGTTAAACGTTGTTGATCTTCCATCCAACACGAAGGCAGCAAACGCTATCGTGGAGAAACTTTTGCTGCATTTGCCAGGCTAGAGTCGTGTTCAGTGATCAAACACCAGATTCCTTTGTCCTCAGGAGAGTCTGACTTTTTGTCAACGTTTAGCTACCAAGGTGTTGTACATGATGGAAAATTAGTTGATGTATGGAAGATGAACCGTATTCTTCCGTTGGGAATGCAGTCAAGCTCATCATAGTCATTCTAAACCGGTCTCTTAAGATACGAATGTTTGACTCTCATAGTTAAGTTTAGTAATTGAAGGCTGGGTGACAACCTTGTGCAACTAAAAAAATCAAAGCTAGTAAACGTTATTTCATGCGATGCAGTTTTAGTATCAAGTATTTTTCTAAATGAAGTTTGATTTTGTGTTTCCAGCAGTTCTCTTGGACATTATTGAAAGTGAAAAGATGACAAAAACTGAGCTTGACTGTATTCCTGACGTGAGCAAAACCTGTCGCGTCGTTTGCCCTTTTGCAGGACTTTCCAAAATGAAATAAATATGATTTCACATCCACAAATATTTCTACTTTTGTTACACAATTTTTATCATTCATTTTTGTGAAAACCTCTTGCGCATTTCCTGTTATAATTACTAAGACATTCGTCAAACATTTTTATTAGTGGTCCTTCCGGACCTGATCGGTATACTGTACAGAGTTTACTGTTGGGTATAAAAGGGATTTGCTGAGCCGAATTAAGTTAATATATAACATCTAACCTTGGTGATTGCTCTGTACTGTAGTTCTAATGAGAGTATTCGTCACACAAAACTGTATTTTTAACACCTTGTGACAGAACGTGTCCTGAACTGCATGTCGCTAATCGAATCAGAGTGTGCATAAAAGGCCTCTATTTGTCATAGTAATGTATTTATATCCCGCAAAGTATTTCATTAAAGTGGAGTTAGAGTAATTGATGCTTTGGTCTTGCGTTGATTGGTCAAAAATTCATAAATGGCGGACCGCTCCGGTAAGCCTCGGAACGAGTGCATTAAAACGAGGTGGGTGAGAATACCACCGCCTCCTCACTTTTCGACTCTATTATCATCAGTTCATGTCTGACAATAAAGCGTGTTCACGTGGCTTCACGGCATGCGCAGCCATACTGGTGGTCCAAAACAGTGAAGTTGGTGTACCAAACCAATCCTGTGGGAGTTGAACTCTTTTTTATGTAAACGCTTTCTTTTACACGTGTGCTGGCCACGTGTGTGAAAACGCTCTTCAAGGGCAGGAAACGAATAATGTGCATGAAACTGTCACCATAGCAACAGTACACTGAGACAAGGCCATTACCTCAGCTTTCAGACGAGCGGGCATAGGTTGGTGAAAGGATTGGACGAACTTGAAAATTTTGGAATTTTCCAAGTTGAGCGACCTATACCGCATGCGAGAGGTGGACAAGAACTATTATGGGCAGGGAGACTAAGGAAAATATTTCCATTTTCTCTTAGCTTAGAGTTGTAGAAATATTTCTCAACTGTGTGAAACAGTAGTAATTATACACTTGAAAAAATTACTTGATTCTGATTGGCTAAATAGGAGCGCAGTTTTCAAACACCAGTGCAAATTTGAAACACGAGTGCAAATTACAACGAAGATATCTGAAGTTAATTAGTACAAAGACACTCATGTCTGCCGACGGTATAAACGAGGTACCGTAAATCCTCGAATTAACGCCCCCGCTCGAATAAGCGTCCCCTCAAATAAGCGCCCCCCGTCTTCTCCCAAATTTGAAATAAGCGCCCCGGGCGCTTATTCGACGATTTACGGTATTTGAAGGTGGACGAGGTTCACCCGAAGCATTCCGAAGATAGCCGAAGGTAATTGGACGTTTGCCAAGCACTTCTGGAGATCACCCTAACCCTTCCGAAGATCAACGAATATCACCCGAACATTTTGGAATACCCCCGACAATCACCCGAACCCTTCCGAAGATTTCCGAAGACTGTCGAAAATCACCCAAAGTTCGCCGAAGACTTTCGATCCTTTTTTGGAAGTCTTGCGAATATTTTCGTAAATGTTTAAAGGTATTGAAATACCAAACACAATCTGTAGACGCAATAGATTATGATCACAATCCCTTAGCAGACGACCATAAATAGTACGTTTTCTAGGGTATTGTTAACAAGTAATCACATGATTGTTCTCGCGCAATTTCGGATAAATAAGCACTTGTAAAATTTTCAAATACTACAACTACGACTTGCATTCGCCCTCGTGCAATTTTGTTAGCTTTTGAAAAATTTACCCGTGCTTATTTATTCCAAATTGCACTCGAAATTATGAGATTACCTACGCTAATATAGTGACCCCATGGCTTATGTTGTAATCTTGTTGTTCATATTAATGTCAATTTTCAGACAGATTGTCCCCTGGGCGTCAAAAGATGCTATAACTAATGCCTATCAGACATCATGTAATTTGTCGCGAGCGTCAATAACGTGTTTGACAGAGTGATTCAGTCTGTGTGTGAAATGTACAGCTGCTGGAAAATGCTACTCTCTTCAATTTACAACATTAAGATGGCACAATGAACTTCTTCAAGTCTTCTTCAAGTGTCATACCATTTGTAGGCTAGCGCAGTTCGCGGTGTTAAAATCAAGATGTGTTCGGAACTGAAACAACCCAAAATATAAATTCATGACCGGTTCTTCAGCCAAATCTCAAATATATTTATAAGCTAAACTATACCAACGGTGCGTATCTGAAGAATGTAATGAATCCGACATCCTTTAGAACTTTCTATTGTCTTAATTTGTACAGTCATTGTCGGTTTCCGTTTCAAGAGTGTAGTCTGAACAGTGTTTGAAACAAATAAAGGAGTGGTCTGACATGAATTGTGGAACACAATACCAACGTGGCGCTTATGAAGCTGCGTAAAACATAATATTTCCGGTAAATCTCAAAAGATCAGATCCAGAAACGAGAAATGGAGAAATCTCTTTCATAGTAGGTGATGTGACACAAGGTAGCCACAATTTGACATCAGCAGGCCTAATGAATTCCAAGATTGAAACATAGAAGAAACATTACTTGTTCCTCCGGTGCCTTCTCGGAGGAGACTGATTTCGGGTCTGGGGCGTAGATGTTTATAGCTCTACTAAGGGGACTGGGTTGTCAAATGAGTGACGTCATTGAATTGCTTATCCTATATTTTTCAAGCGGGTTCTTTGCAGCCCATTGCAATCCTCTACAAATACAAAATAAGTCATCCTTATTCCTTTTAATTTGTTTATTATTACTTAATTGCTGTCTGTCTTGCTTTCTAAATTGCTGTTCATTGATGGAAATTTGATACACGACAGAATTGCTTTTAACTTTTTCGGCCACATGGCTAATTCAGACAGACGAAGCCGGGTAGAGTCCGAACGACAGTTTCGTTCAGATTGTTTGGAAACCTTCAAATTCAATCATGATTTCTGGAATTTTTTGCTGCTTTCAATTAAGTATTTAATAGCAGCATCAAATAAACAGTTCATGAAATGCACGATGCATTCTAAGCAGGAACTGAGCGACTGCAAAATCCTGCAAATCCAGGATTATTTCTAATTAAGAGACTGTGGCGTCGCATTGATGGTTCGATGGAACTCACACGGAAGGGTTTCTTGGAGTTCTAACAATTTGTTAAATAAGAAGGATGAAAATTATAACTTGAAAGCGACCTTTTCTCCTCCTCATCCACGTGTAACAAGACGAATCTCTACCAAAAAACGTCAATTCAAGGATAAAACCTCTCCCATCCTAATGCTCAGGGTGGGCGAGGGTGGGGGAAGGGGGAGGGCACTCTACAAAGTCTTATACGGGGACGCTCCGCCTTGAGATCCAACTCCTGACCCTTTTGTTTACCATTTTGACAGAAAAGGTAGTCCTTTTGTATACCCTTAATTTAGGAAAGGCATACCTGTCACATACTTTCATACATGGCCCGTATTATGAATAAATCGCCAGAAATGGAAATCGTTTTGTTATTTTCATGTACTACTTTTAAATAAATTAAATGATACATATACAACCATAAGGTGCGTCTGTTTGAAATATTTTAATTTAATACCCTCTAAAATAACTAAATGACAGATTTCCCTACCCTTTCACAACCTGAACTTTTAAAATCCCTGCCCGTTTATATAACTGAAGTCTGATGAATAAGGTATCCCTTTCGAGCGGAACCTCCCTGTATAGGCCATCACAGGGAGAATACCCCCCCCCCCGGACTTGCGCTTGGGTTTTATATTCTTGAGTTTCACTATGAAAAACGGCCTCCTGGGTGAAATGAAGGTAAGGTTTGAGTCTTAACGTTTAGGTCTTCAGTAAAAACCAGGCTTATATATTTACGAACGGTGAAACAACATAGACATGTTATTTTAACACTCAACTCTACATTTTTTGGGGTTGCAATAAAACGATTAGTGAAGCAAGCAGACGTCAAAACAGGAACTATGCAATTTCCGATCCAGTGAGATTAAAGTGCAAAGGTGGAAGAAGAAATATAGTTTTAAACAAATGGTCGCTTCCAAAGCACATCACGACTGAAATATCTAAGGTATCTGACCTGTTCGTATCAAGGTTGTATTGAACCTCCCTCCCTCTAATATATTGAAGAAAAGGAACTAAAAACGCGCAGCTAGAGGACTTAAGGGCGCCAATACAGTATGTTTGTGTTCCATAGATTGTATAACAGAGAGCAAAAGAAGCGTCTGATAGGGGTAAAACTGATAACTGAAAACTGGTCGACTGAGGAATGACTCGTTTTATCAACCCATGCAGAGAATTTAATAATCAACTGATGACTGACATTGAGATCATGTCTGAGATCTGAAGTAATTCTGATAACTGATACATGTAGCTGAGCTGAGACTCCAGCGCCCCAATCCATACCTTCTTAAAGGCAATGAATTCTGGTTGTTTTTCAGCTTTTTCCGTAGATGTTTGTTGGTCAGGTGAACTGAATTACTCAGGGAAGATTTTCCAAGACCCATCGCACGGTCTCGCTCCAGTTTCCGCTCACAATATCGACGCACTGAAAGTTATAATAAAAAACGCGCTTTAATCAGCCTAACTGGTGTCGTGGTTAATATTGTTACTTGCTTGTTTTCATTTCTGGTTGTTATATGACCCACAGCGATTGTTTTTAGGGTCATGAGGCTAGTCTGATTTCAACTGTGTAACTTCCGTAAGAAGAAAGCCTACCGTGCATCAATCATACTTCTACTCGGGAGATAAATTAAATCTTATACTTATGGTTTACCACTATGTAATCATCAGATATAACTGAATACGTAATAACCTACAGCCACCCACGACCGTCTTGATTCAGTACGTCAAGGCCACGTTAACCAAAATGTTGATTTTTTTCTAGCACTCAAAAACCACAAAGTTGTCTTTGTAAAGACACGAGTGATCATCGCGGTTATGTACACAACTCAAGCAGCTGTGAAAATAACGCCGGGAGAAGTCAAATTATCGAAAAATAATAGGATAAAGCCAACCAAGCTAACTGAAATGCTTCCGAATGGAATTCAGTCTAAAAGAGCACAAACGTTTCTTGAATGTTGTTTAAAGACAGCTTAGACAGGCAAAGGAGTTCATTTCAGCAGGAACGTTCCGACTTGTAAGTGGCGTGCAAGGGACTTCTAGCTCCAGAAAACGTTTGTTCTTTTTTATTAGTGCGTCAAAAAAACGCTATTTTAGGTGTCGTCTACCCTTTGACATGAGAAGCAAAGTATTATATCGGCACCAGGAGGGCGAAGATCAACCTTCCACAATTATGTTGGTAATCTGCAAAGACGCAAAAGTCCATTAGTTCCGAGTATCTGCAGGCACGCGAGTGCTTTGTCTTTTTACTACAGCGACAGTGGCGAGGCACTTCCCTTGTGGTCTTTGTGGTTTCGCCGCTCAAGGCTCTGCCGTAGCGCTCGTGCGCTATGACCCCGCCAGCTACGCAGTCTGAAGATCTATGGAAGTTAATTTTGCGTATCAGAATCACACTTGAATCGTACGATGTACCTTATAGTACTCTACTGTTTCCCATGCGAGCATTTGTTTCGGTGCTTTGACGTTACTTTTCAGTTTTCATTTCAAAACGAGAGGAAAGCTGCACAAAAATTACTGGCCCAAAACCTCATAGAAAAAAAGGATGACAGTTTGAAACGATAGAGGAACGGAAGAAAATATGCGAGGGAAACCATCAGCATAATATGATTTCATTCCACGGTTCTAATCCAGTAGTCCATGCCATTGCTATTCTACTTCCTTGATTGCAGTTCTAAATCTATTGATAATCGCGCTGAAGTTATATTTTCCCTAACATACGAGATACAGAAAAAGAAAAAGAGAAGGAAAAATAAAACTACCATAAGTAGAACGAAGGAACAATAGAAAGAGAATTCATAGGAAAACGACGGCTGTGTCGTCAGTCGGAAGTGGGTGGAAAGATATAAATTACTTCATCGCTCCGGAATGTGCAACCTTGTCAATATTCCTATATTGGGTAAATAATAGCAACCGTAACCAGTCGGAAACAAACAAGAGCCTTAATATTGTTTTTGTTTGCAGCGAGAAATTTACTTGCACATGTTAATATCTGAATCCTCCTTTGAATTGGCCATTTGAATGCCATTACTTACATCTGTCAATCAAACGCATGTAACGCAAGGCTGTTGGGCACATGCAGCTCAAAATTATCCTAAGTGGGGCACACTGGGGGAACGAAGACAGTTTTCTTTGATAAGTAGGAGATAATTTCTGACTGAAAAACTGCGTTTTTTAAGGCGAGGAATGTAAAAGCTGTCAGTTTTGGCTCATGGAAGAGGAACGAAATTGGTACAACCACCTTGAAGTATTGTGAGCCGAACTAATACAAACATGATAACCCCACCCTAGAGGAAAGCAAATTGTTGCATTTTGTCGCTGGCGCGCTAACATTAAATTAGTCGTTTTGAAAGAAAAGCAAAAATTCCTCATGGATTTACGTCCGGCGTATGTTTCTAAGTGATTGCAGCGTTTCTTATGGGTCAAACACAAGTTTGACATCTCTCAGGATTAAATATTTCGATTCATAAGGTGATATTTTGATCGCCTGGATGTGTGTGAACATCAATGTGATGAAGACGATCTGACCGGTGGCTTTGACACCATACCGTTACTGTACTGCATTGAGTATAGTTTGCCGACTTGCCGCGAATTTACTGGATCGCTTGAAAGCATGGCGACCGCAGAAGGTTTTCTTCAAAGTCCGCTTGTCGTTTGGGTAGGGAGATCTTTTCTTTAGATTTGCTGTGTTCGTGTGTTTCACTGTTTGCAAACACTGTTGATGAAGCACAGCTCACTTTGAGCAATAAACTTATTTCGCGCGATCGACGGACTAAGTTTATGTTTTTTCTAAAAATTTGTGTCATTATTTTAGGCTAATAATACTTTCAAGGGAAGTGCACTCATAGAGTCGATCACCGACTTGGCTGATGGCGTTTTTCTTAACGAAATCATGATGGACATGTAAGTACAATTTTTCTCTTAGATTGTCTGACTCATTCACCTTCACTTTGAACTGCGCCACGGGAGACAAAATTTCTCAGAGTTTTCTCGCATTTACAGTCATTAAATTCTCTTCATTTTAAACTTGGTTATTTCAGTTTCGTTACGGTATTAATAACTCCGTTAATCTATGTTTTTTACTTGCAGCGATCCAACTTACTTCACTTTAACTCGCATTCATCAAAATGTTTACGGAGATGTGAATTTGCGGATGCAGAATTTGGACACACTTGTCAAACATTTGAAAAGATATTACCAGGTAAGGGCGGAATGTAGTGAAGAAATGAAAATAAAACTTTCTGTGTTGCTAGAGAAAAGGAAAAGAGCAAGTAAAATGATTTGTAT